CCCCGACCCCCAGTTCCCTCCTCTCCTTGAAAAGCAAAAGATAAACTCTTTCGTTGGTACACAATCCCCTTGTGGAAGTCAGCTAATTGCTTTGTTTACTTTTCTCCCCACCCAGTTCATGCCAATTGTTCAAACAGCAAGTGAAAAGAAATCTCCTGTGAATGGAAGTTATTTTGCCCAGGTTAATCCTGCAGATGGAGACTGCCTGCTTGAGAAATACAGTGAGAAATATCATGATTTTGGGTGTGCATTACTGGCTAATCTTTTTGCCAGTGAGGGCCAGCCTGGCAAGGTGAATGTCCATAACACAGTATCCTCTAAATATTTTATATTAGCTATAACATTCAACTTTTTATTGCCTCAAACAGCTTTCATTTTTAAAAATGAATCAAAAACTAATTAAGGCAAAGTTCCTGAAATTACCTAGTTATGAAAGATTCTGAATACTACAATAAGAGTCTTATTTAAAACTAAAGTTAGAAATATTGCCTAGTTATCACTGTTATTTTCCTGAGTACCTAAAAGGTAAACAAGACAGGAATCTGAGGAATGAGAACATAAACCAACTATATCACTAAAATAAATACATATTGTTTATCTGCAGTTAGCAAAATGGGTGATTTGCTCACTCGTAATTGTTGCCTGAACTAGACAGAGGTGATGGGAAAAGAAAATTTTAGCAAGTAAAGTGAGTTACTGCCTCCTTTCCTATTTACTTCATGCTGGTACATAAACAGATGATTTACCGGTTGTGAGGCTCTTTGATGTCTTAATAGAGATATCCACTTCAGTTTGAGAATAAAATAGTGATCTAAATAAATATAATAAAATGAAAATAACATAGGTTCAGTCAGAATATTGAAAGAAGTCAAACTATAATTACTGTAATTATCCCAGATTAGCAAAACTTAATCCTTTCAGCCAAAGGCCTTTTTGCCTGGACACCTTTTATGGAAGTCTTCATAGTTAAATGCAGGACTTAGATATATTCCCCAAGAAAGCATGGGTGAAACATTATTTGAGTAAATTATGTATTATTGACATAAATCTCGTAAGACTCAAAGAATGTTTGAGACCTATCAGCTCCAATATGGACACTCTAGATAAACAAGTGAGTATTATCATATTTGCATTAGAGCATTGAATGATATAATGTGTCATTTTATAGTTATTTGAAATGTCATTTAAAACAGTGCTGTGTATATGTATATTTATGTTCTCTGCAGGTCATTGAAGTGAAAGCCAAAAGAAGAACTGGAGTGCTTAATTTTGTTACTTGCATGAGACAGGCTCTTGAGAAACATTATGGAGATAAGCCTGTGGGGATGGGAGGTACCTTCCTCGTTCAGAAAGGAACAGTGAAAGCTCACATTATGGTAAGGGTATGCGTATTGGGGGTTGGGAGTATGTGTGAATTCAGGATTTGGGGGTTTTTTTTTGTATGCTATGGGAATTGTCTTTAAAGATATACCCTGAATAAAATCCTTTTACTCTCAGTATACTATTTTGAAATTTAAATTATAAACAGTACTATAAATTACTGTAGTGATTTAGAAATACTATATACTAAATGATTTATAAATAAATACTATATGCTAAATGCTATATACTAAATGATTTATAGTGATTTATAAATACTGTTTTTCTTGTTATGTACCATCAAGTCGCTTGTGACTCACAGCGACCCTATGTACAAATAACCCTGAAGCCTGCTTTACTCTCTTCCAATCTTATTGTCTCTGACATACCTATCCTCATTTTCCCAGTCACTGAATTAATCTATCTCATCAATAGTCTTTCTCTCTTGCACTGTCCCTCCACCCTTCCAAGCATAATGTCCCTCTCTAAGGACTGGATCCTCCTTGCAACATGCCCAAAGGAGGTCAGATGAAGCTCGGGATCCTTGCCTCCAAGGAACAGCCTGGTTTCATCTTCTCTAAGACGAACCTGTTTGTTCTCCTAGCAGTCCATACAGTATAGTCAATGCTCTTCTTCAGCACCACAGCTCAAAGGCATCTGTTATCTTTCTAATCCCTAGTCATTGCCCAGCTTTCTGACACATAACAAGTAATTGCAAAGACTGTGGCCTGGATCAGGTGCACCTTAGTCTCCATTGTTGCTCTTCAGTACTTTGGAGAGGTCTCTGACAGCAGACTTTCCCAATGCAATTCATCTTTTGATTTTCTGGCTGCTGGTACCAAGAGTATTGATGGTGGAGCCAAGCAAACTAAAGCTGTTAACAGTTTCAATCCCTTCACCATTTATCATAATGCTGTCATTAGGCCCAGTGGTGAGAATCTTTGTTTTCTTGATGTTGAGCTTCAATCCATATTGAAGGCTGCTGTCCTTGACCTTCTGCAGCAAACACTTCAGGTCCTCCACAGTTTCAACAAGCAGGGTTGTGTCATCTGCATAATGTAGGTTGTTGATGAGTTTTTCTACAATCCTGATGCCACACTCCTCCTCTTAGAGCCTGGCCTCCTGGATGATCTGTTCTGCATATAGATTAAAAAGTATGGAGATAGGACACAATCCTGGTGTATACCAGGATTTGAACCATGGAATGTTCCCTTTGCTCTGTTCTGACGACTGCCTCTTAGTTCAAGAGTATAGGTTTCACATAAGCATAATCAAATGTACTGGGATTCCCATTCTTCTCAGAGTTAGTGACAGTTTCTTGTGATCCACACATTCATATGCATTTGCATAGTCAATGAAACACAGATAGACATTCCACTGGTATTCTCTGCTTTCAGCCAAGATCCATCTAACATATCTAACATTAGCTATACTATCCCTAGTACCACTGCCTCTTCTAAACCCAACCTGCACTTCTGGCCGGTCTCTGTTGATGTGCTATTCCAGTCGTTTTCGGATAATCTTCAGCAGAATCTTGTTTGCATGTGATATTAGTGAGATTGTTTGATAATATCCGCATTCTGTCAGGTCACCTTTCTTTGGAATGGGAACAAACATAGATCCCTTCTAGTCAGTTGGCCAGGTAGTTGTCCTCCAGATATTCTGGCACAACTTGGTGAGCACATCCAGGGCAGCATCTGTTTGTTGAAATTATGCCAGTTGGTATGTTGTCAATTCCTGGGACTTGTTTTCCCCCAGTTCTTTCAGAGCAGCTTGAACAACTTCATCACTACAGGCTCTTGCTTATATGTTGTTTCATGAAATTCTCTATGTCAGCCAATTCCTTTTGGTACAGTGATTCTATATACTCCTTCCATCTTCTTTTAATGCTTCCTGGATCATTTCATATTCTGCCCACACCATCCTTAAGTGTTGCAACTCAAACTTGAATTTGTTCTTACAAATACTAAATACTACAAAAATTGTGAAATACTATCTAACTAGAATTCTTTTTTCATGTGAATATATTAGAACTTTCTTTTTACTTTTTTTCACTTCTTTGAGTGAAAGTTCACAAAGCAATTGGTTTTCCTTTTAATCCTTCATACAGATTTCATTTTAATGCATTTGAGTCTTTAATTTTTTTTTACTCAATGTGTTTGTTTTTAAGATCAAGATAGATGTGAGACTACCCAATGCCATCAAATTAGTTCCAACTCATAGTCTCTGATGCTGTAAATATTTTTATTAATGTTGTAAATCTTTATGGGAAGGGATTACCTATCTCTTTTCCAAGGAGCTGCTGATGAATTTGAACAACTAAACTTTAAGTTAGTAGTCCAGTGTATTACACACCACACCACGCAGGCATTTAGATGTGAAAATATGTCTTCTTGTTGTTGTTGTTGTTGTTGTTATGTGCCATCGAGTCGCTTGCCACTCATAGTGACCTTATGTACAACAGCCCTAAACTCTGCTCTGTCCTGTGCCAGTCACACTGTCTCTGATACACCCATGCCAATTACTCCAGTTACTGAATCGATCCACCTCATAGAGGGCTTTTCCCTCCTGTGCTGCCCCTCCACACTACCAAGCATGATGTCCCTCTCCAAGAACTGGTCCCTCCTTACAACATGTCCAAAGTATGTTAGATGAAGCCTCCGAATCCTTGCTTCCAAGGAGCTGCCTGGTTTAAATCTCACCATGATGAATCTGTTTGTTTTCCTAGCAGTCCATGGTACCCTCAATACTTTTTTCCAGCACCACTGCTCAAAGGCGCCAATTCTCCTTCTATCCTCCCTAGGCATTGTCCAACTCTCTGATGCATAACAAGTGATTTCAAAGACCATGGCCTGTATCAGACGCACCTTAGTCTCCAGAGAGACACCATTGGTCTTCAGTACTTTGGAGAGGTCCCTAACAGCAGACTTTCCTATTGCAATACGTCTTTTAGTTTCCTGGCTGCTGGTGCCAAGTGTTTTGACTGTGGAGCCAAGCAAACTAAAGCTGTGAACAATCTCAATCTCTTCACCATCCATCCTGATGCTGCCAACTGGTCCAGTGGTGAGAATCTGTCTTCTTGACTTTGAACCTCAATCCATATTGAAGGCTACAGTCCTTGACCCTCTGCAGCAAGCGTTTCAGGTCCTCCTCAGTTTCAGCAAGCAGGGTTGTGTCATCTGCATAATGCAGATTGTTGATAGATCTTCCACCAATCCTGACCCCACATTTCTCCTCATAGACCCCAGCCTCCCAGATGATCTGTTCTGCATACAGGTTGAAAGGTATGGAGAAAGGACACATCCCTGATGTACGCCCTTCCCAGTTTTGAACCATGCAGTGTTTCCTTGCTCTGTTCTGACGACTGCCTCCTGTTCCAAGTATAGGTTTCATATTAGCACAATCAAGTGTTCTGGGATTCCCATTCTTCTCAGAGTCAGCCGCAGTTTGTTATGATCCACACAGTCAAATGCCTTTGCATAGTCAATGAAACACAGATAGACATTCCTCTGGTATTCCCTACTTTCAGCCAAGATCCATCTAACATTAGTTACAATGTCCCTAGTACCACGACCCCTGCTAAACCCAGCCTGGTCTTCTGGAAGTTCTTTGCTGATGTGCTGTTTCAGTCGTTTTTGGATGATCCTCAGTAGAATCTTGCTTTCATGTGAAATCAATGATACTGTTTTATAGTTTCCACACTCTGTTGGGTCACCTTTCTTTGGGATGGGATAGATCTCTTCCAGTCAGTTTGCCAAGTGGTTGTTCTCCAGATTTCTTGGCACAACTTGGTAAGCACGTCCAGGGCAGCATGTGTTAGTTGAAATATGTCAATTGGTATACCGTTTATTCCTGGGGTCTTATTTTTTTGCTATTTCCTTCAAAGCAGCCTGAACTTCTTCCTTCATCCTCATAGGCTCTTGCTCATATGTTGTTTCATGAAATTCTTCGTATCTGCCAATTCCTTTCGATACAGTGACTCAGTATCTTCTTTCCATCTTCCTTTAATACTTCCTGGACTATTTAATATTCTACCTAAAGCATCCTAGATTATAACAACTCAAGGTTTGAATTTGTTCTTCAGTTTCTTGAGCTTAAGAAATGCTGAGCGAGTTCGGCCCTTTTGATTTTCTGACTCCAACTCCTTGCACATTTCATTGTAATATTTTCCTTTGTAATCCTGCGCTGCCTTTTGAAATCTTCTATTCAGCTCTTTAGTATCTTGAATTCTTCCTTGTGCTTTGGCTTCTCTGCACTCCAGTACAGTATTCAGAGTCTCTTCAGACATCGCATACTAAAATCAAACTCATTGCTTGCAAATAAGAACTGACTCATAGCTCACTATAAAAACGGCAAGGACAACAGAAAAGGTATAGGTGTGTGGGGAGCACCATATCTGACTTTTATCAACTTCACAGAGGAAATCTGTTCCTGTCCACAGCATCAATAATACAAAACCAATTCCTATGAGGTCAGACATGTCACCCATGCTCCCGTATCTCTTTCTACTCATCTCAGTGCCAATATTACTGCTTTGCTGGGTCCAAAATCCAATGTAATAGCTCAGAGACCACATAAAACCATATTGGGGAAGTCAAAAACTATAATTCAGATTAATAAAATAATATAGTCAAGACAGCTCCCAAAATGTGTGTACAGGCAACTCACCCGCAAGCCTTGCAGTTTTCCCAAATTCTCAGTCCTGCCAGTAGTGGCTTCCCTCCCCCAGTTGTCAACAAATTTCTCAGTTCTGCCCTTATTGGCTCTTCCCTTCCCACCCCCCAACCCTCATCTCTTGTCCAACAAAGTCCTCAGTCCTGCCAATATTGTCTTCCTCTACGTCCACACAAAGTCCCATTTCAACATCAGTTCTCTAGTTCAAACATGGTTGCTGTTGCTGTCCTACATTTTCCTTTTTCCACTTCACCAGGGAGGGGAAGGTCTCTTTTCTCTAGTGTGGGAAGAATTCCATCTCTGCAGCTAGAGCTGTTCAATTTATTGGTGAGACTAGCTAATC